TGCTTGCTTTTGCCACAGTCTTTCTATTTCTATTTGTAGGTCTTTGTATTTTGTTATCTTCTCCAGTTCTTTCTCTCTATTCTGCTGTCTCATTCCACTATCCAGCTATCTCCAATGCCACGACTATCCAGACTTTTTTGTCTTTCTTATCGACAATTGTTAAGTCTGGGGTGTTATGTTGCAGGTGCTTGTCTGTTTGAATTCTGAAGTCCCAGAGCAGTTTAATTTTATCATTTTCTATGACTTTCTCTATTTTATGATCCCACCAGTTTTTGCTTACAGGCAAATGATATTTTTTGCAGATCTTCCAATGCACCATTGTTGCTACTTTGTCATGTCGCTGCTTGTAATCAGTCTGTGCAATCTTCTTGCAACAGCTTACCAAGTGGTCCACTGTTTCTTCAGCTTCTTTGCATAGGCGGCACTTACTGTCTGTTGCTGTCTTCTCAATTTTGACTTTGTATGCATTTGTCCTTAAGGCTTGGTCTTGTGCAGCCAGAATTAGTCCCTCGGTCTCTTTCTTCAATTTTCCTGCTCTTAGCCATTGCCAGGTTTTATTATTATCTGCTTTCCCAGCTATTTTTTTCATGTATTGGCCATGTAGTGCTTTGTCTTCCCATGCCTCTATTCTGTTCTTCATTTGGTCTTTCTTGTAGGCCAGTTTGGTCTCTCCAGTAGTTAGTAAGCCTTCCTGATATACTAATTTCAGTGCATCTTCATCATTGTTCTTCAGATATTCTTCCAAAGCCATTTTTTCTTCTTCAACCATCTGATGTACTTGTAGCATTCCACGCCCACCTATTTGCCTTGGTAGATAAAGTCTATCAATGTCACTGCGTGGATGAAGGGCGTGATTCATTGTCATTATTTTTCTGGTCTGCCTATCCATTGCTTTTAGTTCTGCTTGAGTCCAGTCCACTATTCCAGCTGTGTATCTAATGACTGGGATTGCCCAGGTGTTGATTGCCTTTATGGTATTTCCTCCATTGAGTTTGGATTTAAGATCTTCTTCACTCTCTTGATGTATTCACCTCTAATCTTTTTCTTGACTTCAGTGTGCTTGATGTTGTCAGCTTGAAGGATACCCAAGTATTTGTAGTACTCTTCCTCATCCAGACTCTTAATGTTATTTTCGTGGGGCATCTTGATTCCTTCAGTTTTCACTATTTTTCCTTGTTTGATAGTAAGTGTGGCACATTTGTCCAAGCCAAACTCCATTACAATATCTTGGCTATATATACGGACAGTGTTGAGCAGCGATTCTATTTCAGATGATGTTTTTCCATACAGCTTCAGATCATCCATATAAAGGAGGTGGGATAGTCTAGCAGATGTTTTTGATGTTTGATAACCATGTCCTGAGTTATTTAGTATTGTTGACAGAGGAAACAGTGCAATAACAAATAGTAATGGTGATAATGAATCTCCTTGAAATATTCCTCTCTTGATATTAACCTCTCCCAGCCTCTCACCATTGATCTGCAACTGTGTCTTCCATTGTGCCATCGATCTTTGCACAAATTTTCTGATGTTTCTACTGACTCCTGTTATTTCTAGGCACTTTATTATCCAATCATGTGGCAGAGAGTCAAATGCCTTTTGTAGTCAATCCATGCCACATTCAGGTTGGTCTTCCTTCTCTTGCAGTTTTCCAAGATCATTTTGTCTATTAGGAGTTGATCTTTTGTTCCTCTGCTATTGGGGCGGTTTCCTTTCTGCTCAGGTGGAAAGAGATTGTTTTCAACTAGATGCTGTTGTACTGCATCAGCTACCACACCAGTTAGTAATTTGAAAGTTGTTGGTAAGCAGGTAATTGGCCTGTAGTTACCTGGTGTTGCCCCTCTTGTGGATTTTTCATTATTAGGTAGGTTTTCCCAGTTGTTAGCCACTTTTCAATTTCTCCTCCTTGTAGTATATTGTTGAACTGCTTGGCAATGAGTGGGTGTATAACAGTTAGATGTTTCAACCAAAACCCATGCAGTTCATCTTCACCTGGTGCTGACCAATTTTTGATTTTCTTTGCTCTTTTTTCTACCATTTTTGTTGTTATTACTAGTTCTTTCATTTCAACTTCTGTTTTATTTGCATCCACCTCTTTTAACCAAGCTGCATCCTTGTTGTATTTCTTTGGGTTATCCCATATCTGCTTCCAGAACTGCACTGTTTCTTCCTTGTCAGGTACTGACTGATTCCTTGCAGTTTCTCCATTGATGGATTGGTAGAAACGTTTCTGATTGGATTGAAATTGGAGGTTCTGCCTATAGTTTGCAATTCGAGCTTCATATCTACTGATTTTCCTGGCTATAGCTGTTATTTGTTGCTTTATTATTTCCAGTGCTTCCTTGATCTTCCTTGTTTCTAAGTGGTATTTCTTGATTAGGTATTCTTTGGTCTTCTTGTTCTTCAGCTTCTTTTCTTTCATCTGTTCTAGCTTGCTTGCATGTGATCTTAACTTGCTGATCTTATTTTCTAGTCTAACCTTCCATTTTTCTGGTGCACTGTTTGTTTGTTTTTCTTTTTTGTTGATTTTACATCCCAGGTATTCTGTTATAACTGCAGCTGTGCTGTACATTAATTGGTTTGTTTCTTGCAGTGAATTGGTGCTTATACTTGCTATTGCAGTATTTGCATCTTTTAATGCTTGTGCTAGCTGTTTCTTTGGAACAAGCTTCAATGCAGGCAGCCTTATTCTGTTGTTTTTGTGCTGTTCTAGATGCTCAGTTATTCTTTGTTTCAATTCTTTTATTTCTTTAGTTAGAGGGTTTTGTTCTTCCTGAGGAAGAGGTGCCTGGTTTCCAAATGAGAACAGTTGTATATCTCTACTGGATTCTTTCACTGCCAACTCCCCCTGGTTTGCCTCTACATTCTGAATTACTTCTTGTAAGGCTTTGATTTCTTTGCCCTGGGTAAACCTTTGCAGTTCGTCTAATTCTGTTTCTGTAAATACTTTATTTCGTGTTATAAATCGGCGTTGATCTGCTAGTCTCTGTTCTGTTATTTCTGATTCTGGATGTTGTTCTTTCCAGAATTGGTGCATTCGTTTTAGATATCCTCTCTTGTTGGACTTGATCTGTAGTAACAGATCATTATTTCTTTGTTTTCCATCACTGTGTATCTGCGACGGGTAAACACCTTTTCTTCCAGTAGTTCTGCAGCTGCTGGCCCTGGTTGCTCAGCCAACAGTCCTGAGTCCTGTAACCCATTTTTCACCAGATATCCAGGAACTCCAATATCTAGTGCGGACCTTGTTAACCCGGGCGACGTCCGAGCCGGTATGGCATTCTGAAATTTACGTCTCACCATATTTTTTATGGGAGAGACACTCTTTGTCTGACTCCTCTGATGAGACCTGTCCAGTATGGTTGAACCTCTGGCATAGCTCTCATCTTCCTCAGAGTACACAAGCCCCACAACCACGTCAAGGTAGTGCCTCACTGGGGGATTATTATTATTATTATTATTATTATTATTATTATTATTATTATTATTATTATTATTATTATTAAATAGCATTGTCTGCAGGGCATTTTTCCTCTTCCCTTTGGTTTCTAAAAATGCTTCCAGAAGCCTAATTTTGGATGATAAAATTAGATTGCAAATTTATTAATGAAGACAGGAATAGATAACTTGAATTAACTTTCTATTTTGGGGGCAAACTAACAGCTGATAACTATTGTTATTTCAGAAGCATGCCTAGGCAAGAATCTTTTATAATCTTTTATCCATCAAGAAATTCAATGTCATTTCTCAAGGACTACATAAATCAATGCATCTGCCACACTACATCTATTAACTAGCTAATTAACACAGGAAGTTCTGTGTCATATCTTACTGCTGATTAGTTTATGATTAGCATCTAACGCATGGGTGTCAAACTGCCAGCCCATGGGTTGCATCATGTGGTTGCATCATGCAGAGGCCATGCCCACCCCAATGCCAGCAATGCAAAAAAAGACATGTTGCGACACATCACGTGACGTGGCAGGTTTGACACCTGTGATCTAATGTAATTACTTCTTCCTTCTCACCATTTCTCATTCCCTCCTTCATAACAGTGATTGCAAGTAGATTGTCACTTTGCTTTGATTAAAAACATTGTTTAAAAAGTATAGCCACAATTCCAAGATCTTATGAGAAAGGGTTACAGAGATATTCAAATGTACAGAATTCCTCAACACACTGCTTGACATTACTTATATTTTCAATTTAGCTTGATTTCCTCCATTTTAATTGATAAGGGCTGGAAGCATGCTAGAAGCTACTGCTCCTGGTTTGAAAGAGTAAAGATTTCTTTTAATGCATAATTCCATTTAATTTAAATTAGCACTGGTCAGTATATTTGTACAATAAACAATCCATCTATGAAGCCCTTAAGAAAACAAATAGGATTTTCAGCAACTTCTGTCAGTTAAAAGTATAAATGGCCAAAACTTTCTATATTCAATTGGTAGGTTCACCTCTGTAGCTTATGTTCTGGAAACTTCAATGTAATGTCCTCTATTTGCATCACTTTTCCTATCATTTTTTGCCACATCCTAAGCTTGAAAATTGGGCCCACTGCTAGCATTTCTAATATGGTCTTGGAATTTCTTTGGCTTACTAAACTAGGGCTTCGAAATCAGGACAACCACTAAATAGCCATGCACTTAAGACTAGTTCCAAGTTTCATTCTGCAATTAATACTTGTTTTCACTTGAATGAGCAGACAGCATGCAAGACTGCGTCGCATCAGATTTATTGGGTGAAAAGTTATCGGTGATAGTTCATTATCGAATGATAGGTTATCTAAACGAAGCGCTTCCTTGGGTGACAGGAGAGAAAGAAGCACAGCTACAAACGGAAATGCAAACATTTAGATAGGAAAGAGTCGACAGCTGATGCATTCTACAGGAAGGTAATTTAACAAAACAAAACTAAACGAAAAAAAGCTCACAACACATAGAAAGGAAAGCGAAGGAAAAACATACGTTTCCGCTTTCCTGGGCCCGCCCCGGAAGTACATTGAATTTGGAAAAGAGGAAGCTTTAGGTTGGCTGCGGCTTTTGTAGTGGAGTTAAAATGGCGGCGGTGCAGACTCAGAGCGGCGGGATTCTTCTCAGTGCGGTGAGAGACGGAATAAGATTTGGGTGTTTTTTCTGGCCAGGGGAAAGAAGGGGAGACAAAGGGTGGGGAGGTCCTTTGGACACTCCTTGCGAAGCCAAGTAAAAGACTTTCAGTATAGTTGTGAATGCATTCTTTTTTCCCCCTCCTACAGCGCTTGAATTTGGGGTGGGTTGGAGAGAAGGTTTCTTCTCCAGTCTCGAATCGCGCTTTTCTGGTTTTATCGTTCGTGCTACGGAGCTGGCTTCGTTGAGAAGTGCAAGAGGAGTTGCTTGATTTGTTTCCTGTTACGGATTTTTGCAGTGAAGTCGTATTTGGTTTTCTGTTTTAATGCCGCATCGCTGAGAATGTTTTCCATTCTTATAAAGTCTATGGAGATTGTCAAATCATCCAGGTCATGGTTGTCCCAGGGGTGTTTTTTTTTTTCAAAAGGCAACTGGACTTCCTTGTTTTTTTGTGTGTGTGTTTTCTTTCGAAAACATTCCGCTGCTTATCTGAACTGAAGAAGCTTCTTGGATGAGAAGCGAAGCGTTTTTAAAGGAGGGAAAAAACCAAGAAAACCCGGTTGCCTTTTGGAAACAATCACCCTTGGGATTCTTAAAATTATTATTACTAACGTCTTAAATAATTTACACAGAATTGTGTTAAATGAGCAGATAAGGTCGACCTGAATTACTTCTTTGTAGCTCGGAAAGAGGATAAAGTGCATGATACTGAAATGGTATTTTCCGTTCAGATCTTTAAATGTACAGGAGTTTTATTGGGAGACTGAGGTTAGGATTTGATCTGCAATCTCATAACAGTTCGTGTTCTTTCTCGTGGGAAATGTGATGGTATGATGACGAAAAATAAGAATCCCAAGGAAGTAATCTATTTGGATATTGGAGATAGCCTTCGTTTCGTTTCTCTATAAAGTGAGGTGGAGTTTACAACCACATGATCTTGTGATTTTTGTTTGTTAAACGCCAGGATTGCAATATTTGATATAAACACGTGCAGCTGCCTTATCAATCCATTAGTGCAGTTTTTGGCGTCTGATAGTGACTTGTTGCAATTTCAAGGCAATGTTTTCTTGCCATGTTGTCTAAGATCTTTTTAATTTTAATTTTTGTAAGATTTGCCTCAGAAATGTGAGAAACAAGGCTTACACTCAAATTGTTGGAAATAACAAAGTGTTTTATTAGAGCCTTAGCCAAATCTGGTGGATCTTTAAGCCAGGGATCCCCACCTTTGGGCCGTGGCCTACTAACCGCCCTCGTGCCAGTGTTGCCAAAAATGTTGCCAGGGCGGCAGCAGCACTGCTATTATCATGCAGGCAGTGGTGTTGCCATGAACTTTGCGTGGACAGTGCAATGCCACAAGCGGGCTGTGGCACAAACCTCATGTGGGGTAGTGGCGCAATCATGGTGGTAGCATCGCTGCAAGCCTGGTGACGGCACCACAAGCCTCACACAGGCACCGGCGTCGCTGAAAGCCTTGTGGCATGCTCGCAGCCTGTTTGTGTGCACACGCGCACATGTGGCCATATTCACATTTGCACATACACATGTAAGACGTCTGCCCCTCCATTTCCCACTGGGCCGCCAACCCAAAAAGGTTGGAGACCCCTGGTCTAAGCATACAAGCAAGAGAGAGAAACCGCACTGGTTACAGGTCTCAGCATATTATATACATTCCTATCACCAGCCCTTTGTCCATCTTTCTCAGGCCCAGTTAATAGGCCCAGGTCAGTCACATGCTAACAGTCCACTATAATTTGCCATCATACCTAAATGCTTAAAAGTTAGTTAAGCCCTTATTGTCATCCAAACTTAGTAAGCACTCAGCCCCTTCATTTCTGACCTCTTTGGTATTCCCTTATCAGTTTTTTTGCTTATCTGTATAATACAGCACCTGGTACATATCTCAAGCCAGAAGTTGTGCACATCACTGCCTAGCAAAGTTCATGCATCGGGCAAACATGGCTGTGCTTTGGATATGCAGTAGTGTGGTTATATTTTAAAATACTAACTTTAGATAGTTTGAGCAAACAATAAACCTTATATTCATAAGCTATATGCTAGTTTACATTATGAAAAATTACAACTTATATCTCACAGAAATGTTTACCTAATGCTATGTGGCTAAGAAGTGCTTTGAATCAAAACCATAAAGAAACCAGTAAGTTTCCTTTGTGATAAAGCAGTAAAAGTATAAGTGATAAAACAATAATAACCGAATAATTAACAGTGTAAAAGCCACAACAAGGAAATAAAAACCATGGTAATATTAATTGCTTAGGAAAATAAGCATGAATCTTCAGTAAGTATACTATAAATCTTTTGTTTGCTTGGATACTGATATTGGAGATAGTTGCAAGGTACAGGTAGTCCTCAACTTACAACAACAGTTTATTTAGTGACCGAAGTTACAAAGGCACTGAAAAAAATGATTTATGACTGTTTTTCATACTTATGGCCATTCCAGCATTCCCATGATCATGTGATCAAAATTTAGACACTTCGCAACTGCCTCGTATTTATGAGGGTTTCAATGTCCCCGGGTCATGTGATTACCTCCTGACAAGCAAAGTCAATGGGGAAGCCAGATTCAATTAACAACCGTGTAACTTAGCTTAATTGTGGCAAATGGGAAAACTCGCTTAACAAATGTCTCACTTACCAACAGACATTTTTGGCTCAGTTATGGTCATAAGTCAAGGACTATGTATATTTAATATCTGGATATCTTATTTACATCTTCTCTGTCTTATTAACAATCAGTATATGAAAACCTTGGTGCAGGTTAATATCTACAGGCCCATTTGGTAATGACCGTAGGATACTAAAGATTGCAAGTGTGATATACAATAAGAGCAATAAACGGCAAAGAGCATGAATTTAGATGAAAATGAAGGAAAATATGTTGGCTTTCTGTCTATGAAACTAAGGAGCGGAAGCCTCTAATACAGTGGTTCTCTTTTTAATGCCATGACACCCCCCCCCCAACCGGTCGTAAGTCGGACTACTCAACTGGTGCAGCACCGTTTGCAGAATGGGACTTTTGGCGGGCTCAGCAGGGCAGAGATAGCCTGGACAATTCCTATTAGCTTTTGAAAGCCAATAGAATTAGACTCTATTCAAGAGAGACTACTCTATTGGCTTTCAAAAGCCAATAGAATAAAAGGGAGTAGCACAGCTAAGGAAAAGGGAAAAAAATGGCGGACTGCGTTGTTTGGCAACCCCCATGAAATGGTCGTTCGACCCCAAATGGGGTCCCGACCCACAGGTTGAGAACCACTGCTCTAATAGATGTAAATGAAGATTTGTTTGATCTTGTTGAGATAAATTGATGCAGGGAAGAATTGATGCATTTTTAATATGAATTAGATGATTAAAATTTATGAAAGAAAAAATGAATTTATCATTTAGATTATTTGTATAAAACATGATTTGATAGATTCTGATGGTTGCACATTTCAGCAAAGATGAAAAATTGCACAATAGTTTGAAAGAATTTTATCTAGGTTTAGGAGAATAAATTACTCTATTAGGTGAAAAGAATAAATGAGTGGATACAAGATAGGAGAACAGAAAAGGCTGTTGGGACATTTGACACCCAGTATTGAATGAAAGTAATGACAGTTTGAGGAGTATCTCCTAGGAAAAAATTCTGTTTAGATATAAGCCTATTCGTTTGTGCATATGGAGCAAGAATGAATCTTGTTTAGGATGATGATTAAATTAGCAATGTTGATACAGTTAGAAGTTCTGAAAATGGCCATAGACTAATGTGTGGGAATAAAGTAAATGCTTTGTAAATGGGTCAGAACTGAGCTAGGAATAAACAAGTATGTCTCCTTGATTGCTTAAATCAGGGATTTTCAACCTTTTCACCGATTGTACCACTTTTAGGATATGGCAGTATTGGAGTACCACCTAGCAAGGTGTCAAAAACTTGACCCAAAAAAAACCTGTTCAAAGTTGCAATTGCACTGAAATGATTTATGACCATTTTTCACACTTATGACCATTGCAGCATGCCCAGTGTCATGTGATCTATATTTGGATGCTTGGCAACTGATTCATATTTATGATGGTCACAGTGTCCCAGGGTCATATGATCCCCTTTTGCAACCTTTTGACAAGCAAAGTCAATGGCAGGGCTGCTGGTGGCCAAGTGCTAAGGTGGGACTTCCTTCCCTCTTTCTCATTCCCATCTCATTCTAAGGAAGAATTTGAACCCCCCCATATTTTCTCTCTTCCATATATTCATCAAACAAGGAAAAGCCTCCAGAGACAGAAAAGAGAAGCCATTGAAGGAACTAGCTTAAAAAGGCGCATTTCCCTTTAAGAACTAGCTACTGGCTAGAAAGGAAAGTTAAGGAGCCCAGCCAGCACTTAAGGAAGAAAAAAAATGTAAATAAGTACTGGCTGCCAGCTAAGGCAGCCTCCCCAAATGGTTCCATTCATAAGTAAAGGAATGCTACAGGCAAAATCCATTCAGGAGAAAAATACTTCAAAATTCCTTTCAGCAAAACTTACAGCTAACAATAGCAGAGCAATAGAATCTAATATCAGTCATCAGCCAAATAGAAATTCCCAAACACTCCTTAAGAACACAAAGCCCACATTGCACAAATCCCAGAACTTCAATGTCACAAAAGCACATAAGAATCCTTCCACTCTCCATCCCCCTCCCTCCTCTTTTCCTCACCTCCACCCGATGCTGCCTAGTTGTCTTTCTTCATTTCTCCTGGAGGGCAACCCCTCCCCCCCCCCCCCCCCCGCTGCATTTCTTGCCTGTTTGCTGCTGCCAGCACAGGTGGCTGCCACAGCAGTTGTAGATCAGCCTGCTTGATCTCCTCTCCTCTCCTCTCCTCTCCTCTCCCCCACCCTCCTCCTCCTTTCCCTTTGGTGCAGCTAGAGCTGACTCTGCCTTCTCCCAAGGCTGCTGCTTTTTTTCTCTTTCTCTCTCCCACCCAAGCTGCTTGCTTTTATAGCCTCTCCTGTCTCTGCCCCCTC